CAAGGCCAGTGCGGGTCCCTTCACTCTGAGGAATGTTAACTCGCCAAAGGAGGCAGACTGCTCGGTGAGGACCCCAGCTCGGTACAGCCTCATGTTATTGTATAGAAACCAAGGGAATAAAGTGCTGATGGTTTTGTAAGTGAGGGACTTTTGTGGACTGTGGGAGGGGCTTTGTCCTCTGGATCTCCCTGTGGGTGGGGCTCAGTGGTCTGGGTGCCGCCTCCCCCCTCCCTCCTGACAGCAGCCCTGGCAACGTGACCTGCAGCAGGTTAAGGCTTCACCTGAGCACCTGTTTCCTCCCCTGCAAAGTGTGAAGCTCGGGTTAAAGCCACAGCTGCAAGGCAGTCTCAGTGTCTCAGTAGCAAGTGCCCTGGGATGTTTTCCTAGTTAAGTGAGGCCTGTGGTGGGGACACTGCCAACAGGGAAGGGCAGGGGCGGGCCTAGAAGAGGGATGTCTCAGTGGAGCCATTGCTCATATTAACCCTGGCAACTAGTGCATGGTGGGACCTAGCCCAGCCCAAGTGCCTGGAGGGCTTCCTGGAAGGTCGGCTAAAGTTAGCCTCTGCCTGCTGTGACCCCGCCAGCCATGGAGGCCCTTCCTTCCAAGCCTGAACCAACAAGCTGAACCCCCAACACCATAGGAGAGGGCCCAGCTCTCCCGTGCCCTAAAGACACCTTAGTGCCCAGCACCAGCCTGTGGAGCTTGCCCAATGTTTGGGGCTTCAGTGTCCAGATGAAAATCTCCCCACCTCTTGTGAAGCTTGGGTGGCTGCATGTCCCTGACCAGCCAGTGAGGGGAACTTCCAGTTGGTGCCTGGGGCTTCTGAGAAAGCTGCTTGCAGTCCTTGTGCCTGCAGCCCATCCTGTGACTCCTGACCCTGCTCTCTTCCTACTCAAGTGGGGACAGGGTACCTGGGGGTGCAGGGGAGACTGGCCCTGGGCGTGTGGAAGGCCAGCGGGGGCCCTATGTTCAATGCACTGTCCTGGGTTTCTCCATCACACATGTCACAGGCAGTGGTACACAGCTGTGTGGCATCCAACAGCATGGCAGATTTCACCCAGAGAAGTGATAGGACCTGATTTGTGCTTTGAAGACCCCATGGGAAATTGAGAAACAATGGGCCATGGGGACAAAGGAGCAGGTGGGTGTGGACAGAGGCCCTTAAGAAAGGGCATTGCTGGGCAGCTGTCTCAGACGACAGGCCCCGTCCAGGGTTCAGGCAAAGAGGTCACCCCCACCCGATGGTGGTTTGGGGGAACTCGGAGTCTGAAGCCTGGATGGTGCCTGTCTCTCCAGGGCTGGGGGCCAGGCCCTGCTCCTGCACCACTTTAGCCTGGCACATGCTGACCTCTCTGCCTTTTCCCTCCGATCCCTTCAGCCTTCAGATTGAAGGAGCAGAATCCTTGTGTGAAGCCCATGCTGGCCTGGCCTTCAGTGAGTCATTTCTCATGGTATGAGGGAAATTGTGACCCCTCATCCCACATAAGCCATGCCCTCCCGGCTTTGCCTGCACTGGGGGTGCTGGTGACGAGACAGCAGCTGGGCTGTGACAAGAGGCCTTCGCCTTTCAGCAGCCTCCAGGGTGGGTGCCCACATCCTGCATGGCAGCGGGGTCAACAGTGAAGGAGAGGCCCCATCCCAGCTCACGCCACCAGCTGGTGCTGGGGCCAGAACTGCGACCCTTCAGGCCACAGCCCTCGTGTCCCGTGCTCTCCTTCATGCTGTGGCAGGAGATTCGAGCAGCCAGGCCCTGTGACTGCAAGTGACAGACTTGGCTGGAGTGCCAGTTCAGGCACCAGAGGGAGGGAACTTGGGAGGCCCTGGTCATAGCCAGGACCCAGGCCACATGCTGCCTGGTCCACTTCCTCGCTCTCACCCAGGTACCCACCAGAGGCTCACCAGGGAGGGCCATGGCTGTGGGTCCTCCTCTAGCTCCACTTCCCACATCCATCGGGCTAAGCTCTGTGGCCAGCAGGGTCCCTCCGAGTGGGTGCTGGCTCTGCCTGCCAGGCCACTGACACCACTCAGGCTGTAACAGTGGAGTTTGGATGGACACACACACTCAGGAGCTCTGATCTGTGCACAGGGGTGACGGGGACATTTCTGTGGTAGAGACAGGATGGGAAGTGGACACAGGGAACATGATGATCTCTGGTGCTGAGAGTTCTGTTTGCTTCCTTTTGTTACTGAATGAATGGAAGGATGAGGGGAGAGGCTGCTAAATACAGAGCCAGGCAGTAGAGTGGGGCATGAGAAGGCGGGAGTGACAACTGAAATCAGGACACGCTCAGGGGGGCGTGAAGAGGGGATCACAGGCCTTCACTGCACCTGGAGGGGCCAGGGTGGCCCTGAGAGTGGATGTCAGTCTGTACCCAGCATTATGGCAGCAAGGGGGGACCCCTCCACCTCCCTGTACTATGAAGGTGTCCCAGTCCATTTTTCATTACTGTCACACACCTGCCAGGCATGGTGGTGCACATCTGTAATCCCAGCCACTCGGAAGACTGAGGCAGGAGGATTGCAAGTTTGAGACCAGCCTGGGCAACTTAGTGAGACCCTGTCTCAAAATAAAAAAATAAAAAGGGCAACCAGGCATGGTGGAACACGCTTGTAATCCCAGCAGTTTGGAAGGCTAAAACAGGAGGATCGCAAGTTCAAAGCCAGCCTCAGCAAAAGGTGAGGAGCTTGCTTTTAACCCAGTGGTCGAGTACCCCTGGGTTCAATCCCTGGTACCAAAATAAAAAAGGCTGAGGATGTAGCTGCATGGTAGATGCCCATGGGTTCAATCCCTACTAGCACAAAAATAAAACAGTATCTGTGGCTGGTACATGACAGAATAAGGGGGTTTCTTTAGCCCACAGGTTTAGAGTTTGAAAGTCACTCAGGTGGCCCCATCTGTTTGGCCTCTGGTGAGGGCCCCCTTGGTTTGGTGGCAACATGGTTAAGAGAGAGGGAAGAGGCCTCCTACAGAAGAGGCCAAGTGTGTGGGTATCCTTGCTTTGTAACAGCCCACTCAGGAAAGCTAACAGGGGCCACCAGCTACACCAATTCCCCCCCACTAAGGGCAGCATTCCCAAACTAGCCCACCCCTTCCAGCTCCCACCATCTCCCACACACTACTCTGGGGACCAATCCCATGTTCCCTTGGGTCACACTCAAGCCACAGCAGAGGGAGCAGGAAAAAAAGCACATGGACGCACCCAAGGCCCTGGCACCCTTCTTCCTGAGAACCCTTCCTCCAGGGCCCCTCCCAACATCAGGTCTTCACTTCCCTGGGGGGTGGCTGGCTCTCCCCTCCCCAGCCTCTGGGGGGACAGTGTATCTCTCACTGGGGACCACAGGGCCCCAAGTCCAGGCCTTTCCAGTGGGGCTCTCCTGCAACGCGTCCCTCCCCTAGTTGGGCATCACAGATGGTGATCCATCCACTAGGCCACCTGGGTGTTTCCTTTACCTGGGCCCAGAAGGCCTGCCCCATCCTGGGGTGAGGGAGACAAGCTCCCCACATGCCCTCATCATTTGCACCTGCCTCTGGCCTCTCCCTGCATCGTCCCAGCCCTGCACCCAAGTGGCACACAGTGCCCACCCGCGACCGAGGGCAGAGGCTTGGCAGAGAAGCATATCCAGGTCCAGGAGAGGAAAGCCAGTGTCACAGCCCCCAGCCCCTTAATCCACAGCATTCACCCCCTTTTCTTTTGCAGCACAGTGTGGGGGGTGGATCTCCGGGTCTCCACAGGCCAGGCACGTGCTCCACCAGTGAGTTACACCCCTGGTCCTATTTATTTTGGGTACCAGGGATTGAAGCCATGGATGCTCTGCCATTGAGCTACAATCCCAGCCCTTTTGTTTTTTGAGACAGGGTCTTGCTGAGTTAGCCAGGCTCGCCTCCAGCTTGCGATGCTCCTACTTCAGCCTCCCAGATTGGTGGGATTACAGGTGTGTGCTACATCCAACCACACTTATTCTCTTCTAGGTGCAACACATGTGCCAGGACGACTGTCCCATTAGTACCTGAAACAGCCAGACATGCAATGTGCCGTGTGTGTGTGTAATAAACAAGTGAACCTGGAAACTCCAGAAGGGAAGCTTTAGCTATGAAACCCTGAGAGGTGAGGGGTGGCATCCAGCAACTGCCCTGTAGGGGCTGGAAAGCAGGTCGTGCGAAGGCTGAACTCGAGGGTGAATGGAAAAGTGAATTTTTTAGTAGGACACGGGGAGCAGGCTTTGATAGGGTACCGAGTCCCATGCTGTAGATGGCCATAGCTGATGTCAACAGTGGGGGAGTCCTGAGGGCTGGCTTCCAAGGCCAGGAGACAACAGTGTTCTGCACAGGCAGGTGCCCAGTCTGGCCCTGGGCAGAAAGCCATCAGAAGCTAGAGCCTTGTGTATGATGTATTTTTTTTTTTTTGTGGGGTGAGGGGGGCTCACAGAGAGCAACCCCAAAGCCCTTGGGTCCCTCCCATCTAAGATCTGCAGATGCACACACTGACGTTCCCCAGGATCACTCCCCACAGAGCCCTCCCCTGGGCCTCACTCAGCAGTTCTGGGCTCAGAGGCTGGGCACTTGCCAACCTCAGCAGCTTAGACAAGGCAGCCCATCTATCACAAGCAAGGGGAAGGTCACAGGGACAATGGGCAGTGGAATGCCGCCATCTGTAAGAGTTCCAGAAGGCAAATCCTAAGCAGCTTTCAGCCTATCCTATCATTTTTACGAGTCCATCCTAGTTCGTAAGCTCTTCTCACTGGCTCTGGACTTCCCGGTGGATACTGGAGATCTCAGGCCCAGCTGCACCCAAGTTCCTTTGGCTACGCTTCTGGAAGTGGAACAGTGAACCAGTGGGAGCATCTGTTGCTGGTGTGACCGAGTCACGGGTGTTTCCATTCTCACCACAAGGATCTCAGGGAATCCTGGCAATTCTCAGGCCAGATGGAACTTATCTCCAAATTCAATGTGTAATGAAACTCAGAAAAGTGAAGAACAAATGAGAACCACAGGCATTGGAAAGCTTAACAGTATGCGTTTATTATATTTTATAGAGCCATGTCACACATGCTTGGTGCTTCAAACTGAGTTAATGATTTTCTGGATGCAAAGCCATCTGATGCTTGATGCGGATGCCTTAAATACTATAATATTTCTGCGTCTATGACCTATGAGCTAAGGAAAAACCAAGGACAATTCCAGAAATGGCAAAGAACACAAGAAAAAGATGAACATGAGACACAATGCTAAGTCCTTGAGCCAGGGCCTACAGAAGTTAGCAGAAAGTGAATACCACAGAATTTTTCTTGCCATCTGCAGATAACAAAGCCTAATGCTGCGGACGTGTGGAGAAGGAGGTTGCTCCGATTGGTTCTGGTGCCCTTCTTGCCTCCATGATATATGCAGACACCAAGCAGCCCCAGACAAGAAAGGCTACAGACAACACACCACACAGCCAACTGCTCCTTTTCAACAATACTAAGGGCCTGAGTGTCTTGAACCCTCCATGTGGCAGCTCATGCCTTTTAGTAGTTTCTGGGAGGGTTGGTTTGCTTGTGGCCTAATGCCAATGTTCAGTTTCAGGTTTCCTTTGTTTTTATAAGGGGTTTGGGTGGCACCCATTCACACATCTGCCACCCACCCCTCCCATCAATCCAGTCTTGCTTTAAGTTTTTCCCAGGACTATGTGGACCACCCAGGCCCAGGGTAGATGCCAAGAAGCCTCTTAGACATGTATCTGCACTCTAACCTGATGCCACTTGTCTGAAGGGCCTGCAGTGAACCATCTTGAAGCAGCCAGGGCATCTGAATATAACCTGAGTAGTGAGAAGGGCCAAGGTCAGTAAATAGGGTGTCTTGAGACCTAGCCACTCACTCAGTTGGATGCTGCTACGAGGCTACAGTGTGCTGGAGGCACAGAAGCCCTTCTGTCCTATGAAGTCAAAAGAGAAGGCTGTGAAACTCAGGGCCAGCACCATGAGCAAGCACATCTTGGAGAAAGTTTGGGTGGAATGCCCCTGCCAGTCCTGCTGGGATGAACTCTGAAGAGACGCTGCAGCAGCACTGATGCCATGGGGGGGGGGGAGGGATGGACCCACAACAAAGGGCTGAAAGACCAGAGAGGGCTCCGGCCAGAGACTTCATTTCTAACCACTGTTTTGACCTTTAGGGTCCCCACCCTTGCTGTTGGTCAGGTGTTGAGAAAAGTCAAAGAGCCAGGCAAGGAAGTGATCAATTGGTGGGTGGAATTAGCAGGTTTCCAATTCACAGCGGGCCAAGCTCTCCTGTGCAGGATCTGAGGACTTGCCACCACCCAGGCACCTCCCTCACTCTGCATTTCTTGAGCTCTTGCTCAAGAACAGGGGCAGGCATGGTATAGGGTCCTCTTAAAGGGTCCTTCTCCAATCTAGTGAAATAACTGACATTTAGGAGAACTTGCACATGAAAACAAATAGGAAAAAAAACCCTGATCTTCCTCAACTCCTCAGGCCTTCAGTCCAGGCGGAGCACACACGACACCACACGAAGCCAACAGCATGAGCTCAGCGTCACCTTGGAAAATAAATGTCACTCTGGGGTGACAGTTCTTTATACAAATATTATGCCCCCTGCAACCCCACTCCCAGAGAGGGAAATTATAAGAAATTCAAAAATAGAAAACAACATCTTGTTAAGTGTAAACTTATCCTCTGGAGTTTTATATTACATGTGCTAGAAACATGCATTCATTTCTGCTCAGATGTAAGAAAATATGTCTATCAGTATTACTATAAATCAGAGTAATTCTCGAGACAATGGAATCACTGTTAGAACACCATTTCAAATTTTAGTAAATTACATCTTTAACAAAATTATAAATTTGAACAAGCAAAGCGGGCTTAAGTTAGAGCCAGTGAGAACGATTCCACACTGCTGCTCGCTCATCAGTCACCTACACTACTGCTGTTAATCCAGTGCTACGTCAACAAGGAACCCGCTTGTTATTGTCTTGAACTCCAAATTGCACTCCTCATAGAAGTTAACTCTGCAGACTGAGAAAAAGACACGAGAACAGAGAAAGGGGCAGGGAGTGAAGGCGGTTTCACTTGGAGACAAAACGGGACAAAAGAGACGATCAAGGGCATCCCCCAAGGGATGAAGGCACAGAGGAAGAGGGACCTCCTTGCACACAAGAGCCTGGCTCCCGCAGGCCACAGCGTGGCTCAGGACTGCTGCTCAGGCTTTCCCAGGGTACAGGGCTATTCTGCTGTGGGGCCTCGGGCAAGCATCCCGAGGATGGTGCCAGGACCAGGCTCAAGTGCAGCATAATGCTGGGTGAGGGCAATGTGGCTCCAGACTCCTCTGATGGCCACTGACTAGGGCAGCATCTCAGTACAGCCACATCAGGACTGCTGGACCTGATGGTGGGAAGGAAGGTGTGGCGCTTGCAGGAAGGATGGGCACCAGTAGAAGGCTCTGTCCAGCCTTGGAAAGAATTACTTGCTCACAGGGGGTGCTCAGCTGCGAAGGGGACTCTACCATGGGCTCCCGTCTCTCCTGACTGCCAGATACAGCAAAGCCTGGGGTCTTCTGATTAACACAGTTCCACCAAAATATTCAATGGAGAAGAGATTCTGGACAAATAAAAACAAGTGTCTGAAGTTAAATTTTTCACTTATGGTTTCAGAAGGCACTTCAAAATTCCACAGAGCCTTGGGGGGTCACTGTCATTAGGTCACCAATCCCCCTGGTGAAGAAGCTGTAAGAAACTGGACTATACCTCTGACCAGAAGGTGTCCTGGACGTTTTCTATGTAAGCATACTAGCTTGTCTGTCAGTGACCTTGCAGAGTCAAGCACTCAGCAGAAAGACTCAGAATGACTGCAATTTGAATAAATGGGATTTTGCTGTATTGTGGCAGTTTATAAAATATTTTCAATGAGTCCTATATCTGACCCTAAGCAAAATTAAAAAATTATAATCATACATTTAAGAGGTCCCAACATGAGGTCAAGTACTAGAGTACAATTTTCTAATAATCTAATCATCTCGTCAATCTGCACTCAGTGTCCATTTAGAAGCATGAAATCAAGCTACTGGCACTCTCTTGCCACAATTGCTGGCACTTTGTAAGGCCTCCACTAAGATGGAGGAGCAAAGGCTCTCAAACCAGATACCAAACAACCTTGTTTTCTGTTGGACGAGCCGAGGGCCCACTGGAGCTGCCTCTGAAGCTGAGCAGTGGAAAGAAAAGCCTGGTCTTCCCCATGTGCCCTATTGCCAACTGGTGCCTTTCCTCCAGAAGGCGCCAGGCCGCGCACACCTGTTTCACTCCCACCCTCACCGCAGGAGTGCCAAAATCCAATCCTAGCCCCATGGGCCTGGTCTAAGGTGCTCTGAGGTAGTTCCTTAACTTGGGGTGCCTGTTGCCTATTCTTTTTCAGAACTCAGGATGTGTAGGGGAGTATTAAAATATCCATGCATCGCTTTCATCACAAGTCACTGTAATGGAGTGCAAAATTAAAGGAAACTTGAGTTGCTTTATTTAGCTTCCAATTTCTGGGAGGCTCAAGAATTATAAGTATTCTGGACAACAGAAGAAAATAAGACTGTGCTTACAGATCTTTTTTCTGCCATATTCTTTCTTTAGGATTGCTATTTTATTGTTGCCCTTTCTGTTACATGGGATGTACACATCAGGTGTTAAAAGGTACAATACATTCTACAACTGAGCACCACTTTCTGTAACTGAACAGGCAAAGAAATTACACTGAACATCAGCATCTGGCAGTATTTTTTTTTTTTTTTGGAAAAAAAAAAGTGACTAAAATGGGTTTAAATTGATTAACACTATTAAATCACATCTAATATTTGATACTACATGATTCAATACAGCTATACGATACAATTATACAAAATGTGTTAACATCAAAGAATACAACCAAAATTAAGATAGCAAACAAACCTATATAACTTTTTTTTGTACAGGAAAATACTTTTGAAGTATGCATGTAACTGCCCATTCTTTTAAAGAAAATCTACTGCAAGCAAAGTTATCAACCTCCAGAAAAATCACACATAGCATTACTAAGCATATCCCCAAAAAGTGTACAATATGCACACTTGGAAAATACAAAATTAAAAAAATTGTAAGCAACAGGTGAGCTTCATATTTATAAGAATGTGAAAAGAAGTCCCATTTTTAGCACTGTTGTATAAAGAATTGTCTTTTGATGCGAAGTTCATGAATTGTCCTCCTGCTGGGACCACACTTTACAAAAACACCAGTGTTTTTGAAACGAGATTACAGAGCAAGATAGAGCATCTTAGCAATGTCATCTTATTAAAGTTTTTTTTTAATTTTTACTACTTTATCAAAACATGTCCCTTAGGTGTGTAGGATTCATTTTTAAAATTCTTCCTAGAAATAATATACAAAGGAGAGGCATATTTATTCCCATTCACACTCCTGGAAGATGCTTCCTGCAGTCGAGAAGGGTCTTCTTTTTCTTCTTTTCACTGGTTGTTTTTGGCCTTAGCATGTGTTAAGATGTGAGATTTCAGGTTAGTTGACTGAGCAAACTTCTTATTACAACCATCGAAGGGGCACACATAGGGCCTGTCTCCGGTATGGATTCGCACATGTGTGCGCAAATTGAAGTCCAGTGAAAAGCGTTTCCCACAGCCTTCGAATGTGCACTGTCGAGGAAAGACCAGACATCAGCCTACTCGGCACGCATGACCAGACCCCGGGAGCCAGCAGCGCTCACTGCTCGGGTGGACCTCAGCCCATCTGTTTTACCAAACACTCTCTTCCCTGCCTGGGAGATGCAGGGAATCAGCAGTAGGGATTTCTAACTATGTACGTTGCCACCCTCTGAAGACTTGGGCTGCCCTCATGGACTGAGTGCGTACAACCAGACAGAAACACTGTCAAGCGGCAAGCTGTCCAGATCTCAGGCTAGGACCCTAATACGTCTATAAATATTCTTAAAAGTAAAATATTAATGAGTAAGAAGTCTTCTGGTGTCAACCGTCAAAAAGAATCATGTCAGATTCACCTTGTTACTAGTTTATTAACTTACTTGTAAGCCTCTAAAAACAAGATACAATATCACCTCTACTTAGTATCATACAATAAAATGTAAGACATTCTTGGTCAATTTGTATTTCAATATGCTATTACCTACCAAAAATTAATGATTTCCACCCCATCAGGAACACACTAGAATTTAGCTCTTAATTCTGTATTCTCCTACCAAAAAAAAGTGCTCCACAGACAGGAACACGCCTGTATCCAGCCTCATCTAGATCCCGTAGGGAGGCCAGAAGGTGAGGTGAAGTGAAGTGAGCCTTGCATGCAACTCAGGAGGAATGATAGGAAGACCCTCACTCTGTGCTGGCACCTCCCATGCCAGCCACACCGGCTAGCTTGTGGCGCCCAAGACAGCAAGGCAGTAGAGAGGGGAGAGGGAGCTGGCTCTACCTGGAAGGGCTTCTCTCCAGTATGAACCAGTTGGTGTCGTTTTAGTTTTGAACTCTCAACGAAAGCTTTGCCACATTCTGCACAGACGTGGACTCTGGGGCCGTGGGTGTGCAGATGTTTTCTCATAGCAGAATTATCCCTGAACATCTTTGTGCAGCCCTTGAAACAGAGAAAGAAGCTTAGTGGTTCACACTGCAAACTCTTGAGAAGGATTCAACCACTTAGCAACCTTTACTGATCTATTAGAATGAAGCAACCTCCCCACTCCCCATTTTAACTTTACTTAGCATTACAATAGAACATTAAATTATTTAAGACAAAAAACAGACAACTGAGAAAGGCCTTAACTTTTAATGCAAACCCCTGTTTTACAGATGAGGAAACTGAGGCTTAGAGATGTCTTGAAGTAGACTTGCCCAAGGTCACACTACTAGTAGTAGCCAAGCTGGGAATAGAACCCAGCGCCCCGGCTTCCAGCTATGCCACAGCCGCCTCACCCCGCCACGCCCCCCGATGCAGTAACAGAAGCACTGAGAAATAAACGGAGTTAAAATGACGGTAGTCCACCACTACCTTTGGTGGGCCCCATATTCTGTGCTGCAACAATGGGCTGTCATTCTCCATCGCCTACTGTTCCCTCTTCTCTCTTTGCCTCTTTCCCCTTCTTGACAGAGAAAGAAGCAAGAGGGTCTCCAAGGAATGGCAACTACAGAAGAAATTTATTTTGTGAGACACCGGGAAAAGGAAGAGGCAGGCAAAGCGATACCAGTGCGGGGGAGGCAGATGGATGTGCGGCGCCCGAGAAGCATGTCCTCAACAATTTCTTCTGCAGTTGTTGCCCATGATGGAGTGAATGGGGAAATGGTGAGACAGCATGACAGAAGGACAGCACAGGGCACCACCAGACAGCTTCACAGGCAAAAGGGAGGGAAAGCCAGACTTTTCACCTTGACCTCTAGGTTCAGTTTCCATTTACAAAATGGAATTTTAAAAAATTTAATTGAAAAGAAGTATACAGAGAAGCTAGAGATGACAGGCACTTCAGTCATAACTGTTTTCAAATGCTTATTTTTTGCCCCAATGGAACTCATTTTATATTTCAAAATCACTACATTAATAAGAGAATTAAAAATATGAAAATTTGGGAGTGTGCAGTTGTCATAAGGCCGATTCCATGAAACTAAATTTATCCTTCTCCAATTGATTTTTTAAAATTCTTTACTCCATTTATAATTTCTCCCCCTTTGTTTATCTGCACTTATGTGGTATCATTTTTCTGTTAAGTTTTACTTCCAATCAAGTTTGAAAAATAGCCCCCAACTAACACCTCAAAGTACCTTCTGGGTTATCCTCTTTATGTGCAAGACTGGCTACATTTGAAAACAATTAAGTACCCTTCTAGAAACATGATTAACAGGGTAAATAAGAAAACTGAAAGAAATTATGAAGTCTTTGGCTTTGTTTTTTAGCAAATATTTCCATATTTCATTCATGAGCCTACATTTCATAAAGGGCGGTGGGCGAGGTACAGCCCAATGCCTTAAGACTTGTTAATGACCCCAAAGGAATGGAGTATAGTCAACAGACAGCAATCAACGCAGCTCCCTACTTAATAAAATACAAATAAATCACAAATTTAGGTGGCTTTTACTAAACAACAAAACTCTTGTCTCTTGAATTTAAAAACCAAAGATTATAGTTCCTCCCTTTATCTCAATTATGAAAGTGGAAATAAATGTGCAAACTTCTTACAAACTCTCTAAGACTTCAGTAGTGGTTCCGTGAACCTCCCCCTAGCATTACTTACTTTATGAGGGCAAGCTATTGTTCTTGGAGCATCATCTTCTTTAATTTTTCTTGGCTTCATTCTTATCCAAAAAAAAAAAAAGAGAGAGAGAGAGAAAGAGAGAGAGACAGATTTGTAGGAGTGGGTACACTCAACTGGCATAAATCATATAGTGCCTAAAATGGTCTCCTTATAGCTAACAAAACTAAGCTTATAACATGTTCCCATGAAGGAGGACAAGACTGCTTCAATGAGTGCTGAAGACTTTGATAAGGGGTGACACCCAGAAGGCTGCACACTGCCACTGTGGCCTCGGAGCTGGGAAGCTGGCTAAGCATAGCACGATGATCTGTGTGACTCAAATACCTGCTCTTTTCTCCTGCCCCTCTAGAAAAATACAAAGACTCAATCTCCTAGTGGAAGCTGGGCAAGGCACTCAAAGCAGCTGCTTCGATGACAAAGGTACCTTATGAAAAAGGAATAACAGGCATGAAATGTCTCAAAAATAAGTGTCTCTATACAGCTGCTTAAAAACACATAGACAAATGGGTCCACTTTACACTGATATAACCGAGCTTTATGACACATCAATTTTTGAGGGGATGTGCTGAGGAGTGATACTGGCTAAAATATACTGCTAAGTTGTGTGCACGTGAATATGTAACAACAAATCCCATCAATGTATATAACTATAACCCACGAATTAAAAACTCGGGCTGGGCGTGGTGGTGCATGCCTATAATCGCAGCGGCTGGGGAGGCTGAGGCCCTAAGCAACTCAGCAAGACCCTGACTCTAAAATATAAAAAAGTGCTGGGGAGGTAGCTCAGCAGTTAAGTGCCCCTGGGTTCAATCCCTGGTACAAAAAAATGGTGGGGAAAAAAATGTATCATTTTTGCAAAGTGTATGAAATAGTCCTTTTAAACAAAATTCTTTTGACATACTGAAGTATCAAATAGCTTTCAAAGGAAACACAGAAAACCATCAGCACTGTTATTTGAGGGACTAGTGGGCCAGTCTAATGAGAACCACAGACTCTCACATGGTTTCCTTTCTACCATCAATTTTGGTGGTGAGAGTAAAAGGGCAGTTACAGTTTTTAAAAATGGTGAGATAATTTTATTTTAAACTATGGAGACTTGTGGCCCTGCTTTTGTTTGGGGGCTTGGAAGTTCCCATCTGTGACAAGATACCTGGTGAGGTGGGCAGCCTGGCAGAACCTCATGCAAATCCTAACAGCTTGCTCCAATTTTAACGTACCCACCTGCTACTTGCACTGAACTGACCTTTGGTCTGCCACCAGAACTTTCTCTCCAAATACTCCCTACATATCTGAGTGTGATTGGGGTAAGAAATTAAGAATTCCTAGAAAAACTAAAAAAAGAGGGGCTGGGGTTGTAGCTCAGAGGTAGAGCACTTGCCTAGTACGTGTGAGGCTCTAGGTTCAATCCTCAGCACCACAAAAAAATAAATAGATATTGTGTCCATCTACAAATAAAAAAGATTTTAAAAAAAAGATTTCAATCTCTGAAACAGATTTTCTTTTTGTTCTCATTTCTGCCATCACATACCTCTCCATAAGGGCTCATGCTTAATTAATAAACAAACGACTAAGCCAATGGTTTCTTAAAACTAAAAGTTAATTTATCACCACCCTTTTGTTATAAAGGATTATTTCTGTTATCTTTCAGTTAACAAAGGTCCTAACAATATTGTTCTTGTTCACCCTGGATCTGGGAAAAGTGTCCTTATTATGTCATAAAATCTGAACTATGTCTTTGACTAAAATCCCATATCCTAGAAGTCTAAGAGGAACAATCTGTCTGGTAGCTTTCACTTATGTCCGTGTAGTCTGTTCAAAACTGTACATTTATTTCTACTTTAAACTGAGAACATTTTCTGAGTGGTATTCTTTCCATCCAAAACCTGCAGACACTCTTTTATTTCTTGCAAATGGATTATCACATCAGCTAGTAGGCATTTCTTAAGTGCCAGTTGCCTATTGAGCTCTGAACTAGTCTTTGTTATCTTAAATACCAGTATATCCTGGGTGTTTTGTCTGAATTTACATACCAGAGAGGGCAAGAGCTTTGGTATCAGGGCGCCACCTGGAGGCTAGATCAGTGTGAAAAACAACAAGGTTTCTACTTTCCTTAAGTACTAGTAACTCTTCTAAGTACACTAAGACTCAAGTTCCAATCTAATTAAGAATGCTTATTCTTTGATGACTCCACCAAAATGCTCTGTGTGTAAACTGTGACTCGACTACAATTGTCCAAATTCCCAGGATGGTACATACCCAAGATGTTGGATTTTTCTGTAAGTAAATTATATCTAAATAAACCTGGCATAAGGAAGGTCCTCTTCATATATTTTCTGAGATTCATCGCTATAAACTTAATTTTCAAGACATTATATTATAGAAAATTTCAAATCTGCACGAGAGAGAATAGTTCCATGTGCCCAACTCTTGTTTTTTTTGGTAAGTGTAAAAAGCCATTTTAAAAAATGTGTTCTAGTATTCAGAAGTCTATTTTTGGGATGAGAATTTAAAATTTGGACAAACATCCATGAACTCAAGAGGTCAATGGAAGATTAGCAGCCACTCTGAAGTTCCTTGACACATCGCCCTTCACTCTCTACAGAGTGGTCATTCCCCCCCCCCCGCCCAAAGTACACTTGGATTGAAAATGTTTTGTGAGACTAAAAAATCATATACACTACCACTCAGAATTCTATTTGGCCCTCCCAAAATATTCACAAGCGACTAGACTTCAGTGTTCATTCACTGACTGTGAGGCTTGAAGAACCCAGAAACAATGAGGACAACAGCACAGGCGTTTCAAACGAGACGGGATGGGATGTGTGACTTGGAGCTGACTCCTACTAGCTGCATGACCTTGAGCAAAAACTACACAACTTCTCCACCTCGGTTTCTTATTCTGTAAACAGGCACAATGCTCCCTACTTTATAGGGCTGCAAGATTAAAAGATGACACGTTAAACACTTGGAAATGACAGTCATTATTACCAATGGCTAAGTGTTATACAGGACTATTTTAAAAATGAGTTCATCACCCCTGTTCCCCTGCTGGCATTCTGGGGATTGATCCCAGAGCTCTACCACTGAGCTACATCCCCAACCCTTTTTTGAGATAGGGTCTCCTTTAAATTAAGGAGGCTCGCCTCCAACTTTGCAATCCTTCTGCCTCAGCCTCCCAAGTAGCTGGGATTACAAATGTGTACCACCATGCTCAGATTAATAACAAGCCCATTCTTAAAAATATTATAGCACTTGTGCTAAACAATACAGAAGGGTTTGGTGTTCCAAACCACATTTTCAATTAAAGGACGAAGGGGACTGAAGAAAGAATAGCACAAGCAGAAAAGCACCCCTAGGCAGAGATTTTTTTGTTCCAATAAAAATGGAGAATACTCTCCCTGTGACCCAACTGCTAGACATATAAACATCTCATTCTGACATTTGTGGAAGGAACATTGTGAAGAATGGGCTCCAAACTCAAGCTTGCAGGAACGTCCTGACACAATGTCAGCAGAGAATTGTGTAAACCAAAACTCTTGACTAACTCAAATCCATGAATATCCCAGAAGCAGAGATTCTCTAATGAAAATCAGCCTGCAAAACAAGCTTAGTTAATTGCTAGACCAGCAGCTTCTATTCAGACCCATGCTGGGAGGACATGTTCCTGGGTAACACAGCTAAGCTCTGCAAGTGCGATTCACCTCCTTTCTCTGTGCAATGAGTCGTTTCTTCAGCAGACATTATATAGTCATGTAACAGCGAGGACTTTTAAAGTCATTTCCATCTCTATTATCACACTTTACCTAGCCCTGTGAAAGTCTCAGTGTAGACAGTGATAAAAACATCACTACCTTGGGATTGCCTTTATGCTCATCTTTCTAAACTGGAGTCATCCCCTCACCCCCCCACCCGGCTCAGGACTGGGGATTGAACCCAGGGCTTTACCTACATTCTACCACACTGAAGCTATACACCCAGTCTTTTTAAAACTCTGATTCAGGGTCTCACTGAGTTGCCCAGGCTGGTCTCAAACTTGTGATCCTCCTGCCTCGTTTCCCGAGCAGCTGGGATTACAAATGTGCTCCACCATGCCTGACAAAACAGGGGTTTGTAAAGGCTAACTTTAGTTAATAAAATACAGAGACTGGATTTAATCAGGAAACAGAACTTACCAGGCCCAACTCACTGACTACTTTTCAAGTATTTTATTAAAGGGACATTTCAGGGCAGAATAAAGTTCCCCATGGTCCCACCTCACCAAGGCCAGGACTTTCAAATGAAAGTCATCATTCCTTCCATCTGTCCTCTCACAGCATTAATCAATAGATAATCTGGGTGGAGCACGGCGGGAGCCTGAAACATTCTTTGGTCAGTTTCAAATCCAGTGCAGTATCCCACCACTCCAAGTCACAGAATAGAGGGGAAAGCATCCAATACTCTGCTATAAACTAACACTATAGCCCTTCAACATGGCTTGGAGTAATGAGCAGAGGGGATGAGGAAAGGCGGCCAGAAGAACCAATTATGTGGATCAGTGAAGATGTGGTCTGGCCCCCTGTTCATGACAAACTTGGGACCTCTGTTATCTTTAACTTTCTGAGTGCCAATCACCAATTATGGGGCCTCCAGAAAACCCTATTAAACTCACACAGATTCTCAAAGTGCAAAAACTTGGCAAAATAGAGCACCCAGGCTCTATTTTCTTTACCACCACTGTCCAATCAGGCAGATGTGTTAAGATGACCTTCAGGAGATGCCACATATAACTGGGATGAACCAGCCACCCCTCATGCATCCTGGCACCCAAACCCTACACACCTTTACTTCTTACATGCTCAGGACCAGCAGAGTGTCATCATACTCTAGTCACAAATCTTTCACTGACTGATTATAAAAGAAGATCAACATCATTTACCTTCACTTTATGATTGTGCAAGTGCTGCCTATGGTGTGTCAGCTCACACTTTGGGCTCAACAAGTCCAACACAGTAGCTACAAACACAAAATTTCCTTCAGTCAGGCCCAAGAAGTTCTCTCTAAGTATAATGTCAAAATTATTCCTAGGTTTAGGCTGGTATTCCTTCACCCCTTTCTAGGGAATTTCTGATTGCTGTTTCCTTTTTTAGAAGATTCTTTCCCACACTAAAAGGGACTTTCAGATCACTGAGAAGATGCTTGGGTATGCATGCTAGACAAGAGCTCTACTACAGAGTTATCCCAACCCCCCAGGAAACTTTCTGGCAGAAAACTTCCTACTCCACTTTAAGGGACCATGTTTCCCAGCCTCTGCACTGCTGTCCTTGAAGATCTCTCACCCCATCTTCCTTCTCTTGCACATACTCATTGGCTCCGCTGCACCCTCAGTGACCTTCTCAGGACTGTATGCAATATAAAGTGATTCCTTAGGTCACTAACACTGTCTTTGTATTTGACTAGTAGCTTCGCTGGGTTGAGAATTCTGGTGAGCTGGGCATAGTGGCGCACATCTGTAATTCCAATTATTTTTGAGAAGCTGAGGCAGGAAGCAGACCCACACTCCTCCACGGGGACTGGAACCAAGTAGCATACAGCAAGTCTGAGGCCCATCTGGGAACTAGAGTAAGATCCTATCTCAAAGAGACAGGGCTGGGATTATGGCTTATCGGTAGAGCGCTGGCCTAGCATGTGTGGGGCACTGGGTTCAGTCCTCACCATCACATTAAAAAACCAACCAACCAACCGACAAACAAAAAAAGCAAAAAAACCCAAAGAGGTCTATTTTATAGGCTGCGAGTGCAGTCAGGTCAGAGCACTTCTGCAGTACACATGAGGCCCTCAGTGTGATCACCAGCACCAAAAACACCCTTTCATGTTTATAGTCATTGTTCCTCTCAAACACGGCTTTCCTGTCTTCTATTCATCCTTCAGTCTACTGGTCTTTTGTAGATGGTCTTTTTTTCCCTGGAAGTTTTCAGGTTCTTTAAGTGTTTTTAAATTTCATGAGTGGATGGCTACCTGGTACTACTTCCCAGTTCCCTTTCTACAGAGGATGTTTGAAGATAGCCCTGGGACAGAAAGACCAGGCTGCCTTCAAACAGCAGCATGTGTCCTGGCTTTTCTGTTCAGAGGACTGTGGGAACAGGGCTGGCAAGCCATCCTCTCAGCTGCCCCAATCCTCCTGGGACAGGTGAACAATAATATGGGTCACCAAACCCTAAATACTTGTGGTGCTCACCACCCCACATTTTGTTCCCTAGCTGTCGAAAGCCTTCAGCACACCACCAAAATCCTTTCCTGTTTCATGGAAAGGTTTATGTTCCTTCCTCACTGCACTTGACCAACTGATCCTTCTACTCTCAACAGCTTCTTTCACTGAGACTTTGCAGCTAGGTCTTTTTCCCCCAAAGCTATTTAACCACTTTCACATTTCTAGCCATCCCTCATAAAGGACCCCAGTCCTTACTTCCTTCCCAACTCCTCCCAAGGGCTGAGGTGTAGCTTGGTGGCAGAGCACCTGTTTAGAATGCAGGGAGCCCTGGGTTCTTCCCTAGTACTGCACTGCACATAGCCAAACAAGAACAACAGTAATTTTTGAAAAATACTAAAACAACCCAGGATGTTTTATTAGCATCTAAAACCAAACAATGCCTGCATCTGAACTCCAAATCAGAAACTTTCCCCAATCTCCCCCATCATTCAAGAAGTGAACATTTAACATCAATTTTTAAAAATATTTATTTTTAGTTTTCGGTGGGCACAACATCTTTATTTTTACATGGTGCTGAGGATCGAACCCAGCGCCCTGCGCGAGTGCGCTACCGCTTGAGCCACATCCACAGACCCATTAACATCAATTTTGATTTTTTTCTTTTTTGTCCCTCCCGTCTATCCCATATACAGATGATCTGGCCCTAATTCTGTGATTTCTTTCACTGTTGACCACATTCTAGCTCAGGCCTTCATTTGCTTCTGCTCAAGCACCATCCCCCATGTCCTGGGGACACCAACACCAATTCAGCCTAGACACAGCTACAAAATGATCCTCTCATTAGCTCCATCACCCAGATCACTACTTTCAAAACCTTTAGCAGCTGCCCAATGTACACTAAAAAAAAATCCACAGATCTTGGCCCAGTATTCATGGACCTTAATGACCTAATTTCAATTTTACATTTTGGTGGGTTTTTCCAGTCATTTCCCTCAAGTGTCCTAATTCCCAGGCAAGACTACACCCTTTTCTGTGTACCTTTCTACTGTGTCACATTGTTCTAGCATGCAGGCTCCACCATTAAAACTGTTCAAAGCTCAAATCAAATGCTGCCCCATCCACAACACTTCACTGATTCCTCTGTTCAAGTATCCTCACAGATTCTGAACACATAAAAGCTGACTTTTCAGATTCAATTTTTATCTGTAATTTTTCTGAGGGAAGAGCAGTTAATATCTGATTCATAACTATCTGAAATATGAATAGCAATAAAAGTTGGGATTCAATGTCATTAACAAAAGCATAGAGCCTTAACTGGGGTAAGCCATGATAAATGAGAAATAAACTAAATGTGCATATTTCCTATAGCTACAGTTTAACTGGAGAGAAAGGGACAAGAACCCCTTTATGAAAACAAAAAGATCTGACAAGCAGGAAAACAGGTTCAGGTGGTCTGAGTTGAGTTGCCCAACCAGTTCTCAGAAGGGTCAGAAGAGTAAGGGAGGTGAGGAGGGGAAACTGGGTTGCCCTGGTCTCCCCTTGCTGCTCTGTTCTCAAGAAACAAGTTCTCTGGTCACAGAGGGTATAGGACCAGAGATGTGTCTTCCTTCCTGATCCCAACCCTTGTGTATATTTCTGGGGTTGTTCCAGTCTCCATTCAAGCTCAGGGAAAGGGATCAGGCCTTCTGTGCCAGTTTATTAATTTCATTCTATTTAATCCCCCTGCCTCCATTACTGGAACTGAACCCAGGGGCACTCTACCACTGAGCTACATCCCCAGCCCTTTTCATTTTTTATTTGCCAAGGCTGGCCTGGTAGTTGGTATCCTCCTGCCTGAATGACTGGGTTTACAGGTGTGCACACTGTACCTGGCTTTACTTAAAATTTTACATTTTTTGTGGGTTTTTCCATATCCTTATAAAACCTACCAAACAGTAAAACAAGGCCACATCTAGTGGTTTCAGATCCTGACTGTTCACCTTGAATAGTCACAGGGTTCTGGCCACAAATATCTGACATCTCTTTCAGCCATGCCAGCTCCAATTAGCAAAACAGGGAAAGCTTAACTGATGCCACGTGCTGCAACAGGAACTGATGAAAGCCATTCCCAGGGTCCACTGAACAGATCTAGTAAAGACCCGGGTCTTCTGCAACACACTCAAACTTTAAATGCATACAAAGAGGTCAGGAGGCTAAGTCTGAACAGGCCCCTCAAAACAAACTATGTGCAATTATATCTACATCCAAGCAAGGCCAGTTATGGAATTAAAGAGCATTTGCCTCATCTTACTACTACTACTTACTACTACTCAATTACTATTAAAAACAAAACTGACTGCTTTTATTTTCAGAAGTTTCCCTAGAGAAAGAATATAAATCACCACTGTGACTTGGGCATAGAAAACCACAGATGTCAAGAAAGCACTTTCTATAATGAAAAGGAAAGTAAAGTTCTCTAACTTACCTAGCAAATTCTGCCAGCTGTTTTGGATCTGAGAGGTCAATGCCAGGGATTCCTCCAGGAGGGAGTTTCTTTCCTGTCATATACTCTGAATAATCAGGAGGCGAGTTCTCTCCAATGATCTGTTCTTCAACCACTGTCTCATGGTCAATATCTTTTTTTTCATCTGAAACACATCATGAAATTGATTATCTTAGCTGAGTAAAGACATTTTTAAAAGTTTTTAAAAGGTATAAAAATTGCTTTCACTAGCACCTTCACCTTCTTAGATTACAGCTATCACCTCAATTTCTTTACAACTCATTCCTTGTCCTCAATTTTTTGAACTCCTATTTCTCCTTGAAGATCACCAGCTCTGTTTAGCCTCTCTGAAGGACTTGCTTTCAGCATCTTTGTTGCTGCACTGGCCTGGGTGACCCCACTTCTCAAACATCTGTTTTTATCCACTGCTGACTACCAATGTGGCGATGCAAATAAAATCTCATTTCCAACCTCTCACCTGTTAGCAAGCCTCTGGTCTACCCTTCCGGCCTCCTCATCCTTCCTCCAAGGATTCAACCACACAGGCTTTACCCATGCAATTTCTAGAGTTTAAGTGTAATTACAACCATGTGATTTTCCTCAGTCTCTCCCACTAAACTGTGAGTTGGAGGAGGACAGGGAAATTAGTCCATTTTGACCCCAAGGGCCCCAGAACCTTACTTAAAGGCTGGCCCTCAATAAATTGTGTTCACAGAATGAAGGACAGCTCTACTTGTATCATTTCAAATCCACGAGGCTAAAAAACCAATGCTGACCCCATAATTGATCTTACTTTTGCCTTTGAGGCAAACCCTTCTGTTTGCTATCTGGGTGCTGCACTGGCTGGTTCCATTTTAACATGTTTTCTACTTCTCCCTTGCACATGCCCTCTATTTTCCACCCATTTTTCTCACGGGTTAATTTGCAAGTACCTGGGGGAGAATTCAATAAATCCAAGGCCCTCACACCTCTCTCATTTCCCTTCTCAAAGTCCAGTCTCCTTTCAGAGCCTCACCCAAATCTCTAAGGCTTACTGATTTCTATCACTCCAGCCTCACATTCCCACTTCTTTTTTCCAAATCCGAGATCACTTCCTCACAATACTGACAGATCATATACCATTCTGCTTTGATTTTTTTTTTTTGAATTGGTCCTGCCTCTTAAGTTAGAGCAGAAGAGCCCAAAGTCCAAACACAGTTTTCTATTACCTTCTTCTCCTCTCTTCTACTTTCATGCTTAAAGCAGAAAGTAGGGGCTCCATAATCAATGCTGAAATTTTCAGCTTTTCTATTAAAATGTGTTCACAAAGATCAGGAATATAAGATCTTCCAAAAGTGTGAACTCGTACCTCACATTACCATACCACCAGTGTTAAAAAAAAAACAATACCCCTCAAACAAGAAAACAAACACAACCCTTAAGATTGATGTCACTACCAAAACCATATCAGCTCACTACTGTTAGTGCACAGGCAATGAATAAAAGAAAACACAAATACAGAATGAGGTTCGTTTGATTCAAGTGGTCACTATCAACTTCAATACCCAGCAACAAAAAGTACAAAATACAAAAAAATTTAAACTTTAAATCACAGAATAGCAGGTTACATTTTCTTGAATGTTTATGTAGGACTATTTTAATCACTTACACATCCACCTATGAAGTGGGTGAATAAAAGATTGGCAAACTTCATTTTACAGAGAACTGAGGAACGAGGAGGGTGAGCAACACGTTCAGGATCAATTGCCTCATAGCAGTGGTGAACTCACCAGGTCTAAATTGAAGATCATGCTACTTCCTGTTAGGAACTAGAAAGAACACTAGGAATAACATCCTTCAAGGTTATCCTTGATGTACAGATAAAGAGTACTGATCAGTGGATGGATGAAGGGGCCTAAGGAAAGAATAGCTGAATGTATTGAAAGGACAGGAAGGGCTTGTCAGCTCTCTGGAGTTTTTATTTTTTTAGTTGTCAATGGATATTTATTTATATGAGATGCTGAGAATCAAACCCTGTGTCTCACACATGCCAGGCAAGTGCTCTACCACTAAGCCACAACAACCCCAGCCCCTCCAGAGTCTTTACAAGGGCACTAATCCCATTCCCTAGGGCCAAATAACCTCCCCAAGGCCCCACCCCCTAACCCATCACATAAAGGGTTAGGATTTCAAATCATGAAACTGGGGAGGAGGGTCATTCAACCCCTACAAAGTGCATGTAGCTCAGTGGTGAAACGCTTTGGGTTCAATCCCCAGTACCTGGCCAGTATGGACGGGGGCGCGGGGGGGGGGCAGGAAGGGGGGCACAGACACGTGTGCACTAGGAAAGAATGGCCTTACCTTAGATTAGATAGAGGGAAGTAATGGGAGGGAAGAGAGAGGATGTGGGGACAGGAAAGATAGTAGAATGAGACAGACATTTTTATTGTATGTATGTATGTGACCACGTGACCAATAAGATTCTGCAACATGTACACTCAGAAAAATGAGAAATTATATCCAATCTATGTATGATATAATATCAAAGTGCATAACTGCATTCTACTGTCATGTATAATAAAAACAAATTTAAAATTTTTAAAAAACCAAGTCAAGGCACACAGACTTGCTGATTTCCTCATGTGAAAAGCACATGAAGAGGCATCTGATAGATATGAAACAAAAACAACTCCATCACAAGGATCCCTTTTGGACGCTGTTTTCCTAAGAATCAGTCATACTAGTATTAAAACATCTAAAACAGCTGAATAAAAGAGCAATTATTGTGCAAACACAGACATACAAATCAAAGGAACAGACTAGGAAGCCCAAAACAGTGTTATTATTTTAATATATTTATCATTCTATAAAAGAAGCATCATACATAAATTTTCTTTTTTCATGGACTTAGAAAATGATGCTGGGATATGTAATAGCCTAATAATTTTAGGGCTGGCATGACATAGGGATTTTAATTAACTTCAAATGGCTTAAACTCAAGTTTTGTTTTGATCCCTTTTTTGTTTTTTTTGGTATAATCCAATTTTTAAAAACTATTAGGAATCACTTTCAGAGCCTCTCATATACCCCAAAGGTAAAGCTGCTACCAGCCTAATGCAGCCAGTGCATGCTGGAAGATACACAAGTACTAATATGTGCTGCTCCTTGGATCTCATCAGGTGCAACAGCCCGTCTTCCTCTGTGAGGCCAGACCTCTTCCTGGCTTGTGTCTAGTGTTCCAGCCTCCTGCTGGGGACAGCAGTACCTCACTGATTAATTCTAGTCAGCAGTCCACAGCCCAAACATTTCCCATCACCTGAACTGCTGACTCCTTCTGTGGCCCAAGCTCAGTTTCTGCCAGTACCCAGAGTAGAGCCATAGTGTCAGTTGAATGTTATAAGATTTCTGTATGGCAATAACTCACTAATCTTAAAAGTGATTTTTTTAAAACATCACAATGAGCACAGAAAAAATTGTTTTTCCTCTGCTTTCACACCATAGCCATCAACATAAAAAATCTCTGTGATTCCAAAAGATACAGGGATTTCTTCCCAACAGCAAACAAGTAATCAGTTCTGCAGCTGAAAACAGTTGAGGGTCCTCTAATTTATCTCAATTCTGACACTCTTTCTGAGATAGCTTCATATCTCACAGGTTGAGGGCTCAGTCTCTAAGCCTGGCTCCCTTCACTTCAGATGCCATTTGCAAGCCCTAAGTTGTTCTATCTGTGCTTCTGATTGACCAGCTATAAATCGGAGCTCTCAAAATCCCCTTATTAGGTGTGATTAATGTGCTCAAGCTACCCACAGAACTCAGGGAAATACAATTACTAGTTTATTATACAGGATATCATCAAGGATACAGATGAATTAAAGAACAGGGCAAGGGGTATAAAACAACTTCCTATATACCTCCACATGTTTAACTATCCAGCTCTTTGAACATTCCTTTTGGCCTCTTATGGAAATTTCACAGCATAGGCATGATGGAAGCACAAACAACTATGTAGTAATGTAGCCGAAACTCAACAAGCCCTGTCTGTTCAGATTCTTCTTGGCCTCTCCAAGCAGCATTCCTTCTTCCCAGGTATAGGAGAAGATCCCTTCTGAATAGGGATCTAATGATCCATTGTCAGACAGGGTAGGTCTATGGATATTACTTGCCTTCAAGAGAAGAAATTTTAGTTCCTATGGTTAGCCTTGGGGAAAGAGTTGTGATCGGGGAACAAATAAACAAATACACATACATACACACACACACACACACACACACACACACACACATCATAATACCACAAATAAACTTATTCCAAAGAGCACAATATGAAAAAATAGAGGGGGAAAAAAGTAGCTTTACAGTGGAGAAACCTAACAAATACTATCTCAAGCCAGGTGATCAAGTTTAATATCACA